AGAAAAGATGGCCAGGCGCAGTGGTTCACGCCTTTAATCCCAGCGCTTTGGGAGACTGAGGTGGGCAGATCAGTTGAGGCCAGGAGGCCCATCTCTACTAAAAATCAGGAGGCAGAGGTTACAGTAAGTCGAAATCGTACCACTGCACTTCAGCCTGGGCGACAGAGCGTGACTCTCTCAGAAAAAAAAAAAAAAAAAAACAGGAAATTTGCACTTATTCCTGGCCAGAAGATCAGGGATGTTTTCTTGGGAAGAAAGTGCATAGAAGCTGAATCTCCCAAGAATGTGTAAGTCTTGTTAGCTAAAAAAGAAAAAAATCAAAAGCATTGCAAGAAGAGAAACAATTGTACAAAGACACAAAGGCATGGCAAAGCATGATGATTTCCCAGAAATACAGAAATACCAATTAATCTGTTTGGAGTGTGAGGTACAAGCAGAAGGGTCGTGGAGAGTTGAGACCTGGAGTAGTAGGGTGGAGCTTGATTATAAGAAGGAACATTACGTGTAGTAGTCTCTATTTATCAAGGTAAGGAAATCTGATGCATTTTATGGAACATTCCAATCTAGATGATTAAAAAAATTTCATGGCCAGGGGCGGTGGCTCACGCCTGTAATCCCAGCACTTTGGGAGGCCAAGGCAGGTGATCATGAGTCAAGAGATCGAGACCATCCTGGCCAACATGGTGAAACCCCGTCTATACTAAAAATACAAAAATTCCCTGGGCATGGTGATGTGCGCCTATAGTCCCAGCTACTCAGGAGGCTAAGGCAGGAGAATCGCTTGAACCCGGGAGGCGGAGGTTGCAGTGAGCCAATAGTGGACCACTGCACTCCAGCCTGGTGACAGAGCAAGACTCCATCTCAAAAAAACATGAGTTAATGGTACAAGTGTGAGCACTTACCCAGAGTTTTATTATCCTATAATTGTTGTAAACTAAACTATTACTGTGATTTCAAGTAACTGCCATCCATATTTGTATTAAAACTAACTATATTGACTGGTTTGCTTTAATTTTCAGAGATTGCTTTGCATAAATCCACCCCTGTTTGAAATCTATCAAGTCTTGTTAAGTCCAACACAACATCATGTAGCACTTATAGGAATAAAAGGACTTATGGTATTAGAATTACCTAAGAGATGGGGGAAGAATTCTGAATTTGAAGGTGGAAAATCAACAGTAAATTGTAGGTAAGTTGTATGGTATTTATCTGTATCATTTATTATATATACAGAAAATCTTGGCGCTCTGCCTCTGTCTTTTTTTCTAGACTGTAAGCTCCAAGGCAGGGGCAGGGTCTGCCCTTCTCATTTTTAAAAAATTTGTTTTATTTTTTATTTTTGAGATGGGGTCTTTCTCTGTTCCTCAGGCTACAAAATTGTTGTCCAGCATACAAAAATGTGTGAAAAATTTTTTTTATGCTGGAGTGCCCAGAATTTATAAGCTCTCAGTAAATATTGGTGACTCTCAGTAACCTTCCCTCCTCCAGAATCTCAAAACCTTAGAGATGGGGAAGAAAGCAGCTTATCATGAGTTGTAACTTTGGATGTTAAACGCATGAGTAAGCTGGGTGTAGTGGCTCTAGCCTATAATCAGCACTTTAGGAGGCCAAGGTGGAGGCAGGTGGATCTTGTGAGCACAGGAACAGGTGTTCAAGACCAGCCTGGGCAACAGGAGGAAACCCCCATCTCTACAAAAAAAACCTTTTTAATTAGCTGGGCATGGTGGTGCACACCTGTAGTCCCAGCTCCTCTGGAAGCTGAGGTGGGAAGGATACTTGAGCCTCTACAGTAAAGGCTGCAGTGGGCTGCCACTGCACTCCAGCCTG